TTAGCAATTGTCATAGCTTTCATCATCTGGGTAGATATTTTTAAATTAAAATTCTTACAAATTTTACTGAATTCATACCACAGTCGTTGTAAGTCATCTTCATTTTCCACTATTAACAATATGTCATTTGCGTAACGTATGATATTTATATTATATTTTCCCTTACTATATCCTTTTTTGTTTTCAGTTGTTTTATATTATTATTCATTATTACGTGAAATTACAGTGGGCTTAATGAATCCCCTTGTCTTTCTTTTTTTCTTCAATGCAGGTATGGTGGGTATTATTTTGCCTTTGTTTTCTGCAAATATATCGATTATTAGTTTTAACCCATTAAGGGCTACAGCTCTTTGGGTAGATGAAATTTTGAATGAAGTTTTGGAATGCCTGTAGTTTTTGAGAAAAAATTTTTGGGACATTGGCCCATGCCGATTCCTATTTACCGGTACTGAAGTGTCTAGTCAATGTCAATACAATTAGTATATCTTTGTACCATATTTTGAAAAGTTTTTGTTTATAAAAGGAAAAGAGTTACAAGAATGCGGTTTCATGTAAAATTGGTATTTACATATAAATCACTAGTGGTGCTACAACAGCACTTACTTTCTTGTATCATTGGAAACGGCTATGTGATATTGGAATGTTGCATTGTCTGCTCTAACTCCTTAATTATTACTTGAAAACATCCAATTCAAAGAAAGTGCCTGTGATGTATGTCTGCATTCGTTTGAACAGGAATACGTTTTGTCAAATGGGGTGTTTGTTTTAGTGTACATTGGATGTGTTTTACTTCTATGAGGGGGCTGGACTATTCGATTTTGATCTAAAAGTAGATTCTGGTTTGTTAGGTGCTCTTTTCTATCGATATCCATTGTCAGTTCCTGTCTTCTTACATCTTGTACTTCTGTTTTGGAAATAATATGTGGAGTTTCTTCTTCAACAGTCAGTTGATCAGGATATACAATGGAGGAGGAGGAAGAATAATGGACATGCTAAAATCATTTTCCTCTTTCCACGAAACAGATCTTTTTTGAGATTGAAAAATCACAGATTTTTAAATCATTAATGAGAAAAATAGAAATCTAACATCATTTCACTATATATACAATACGAATAAAATAGCAAATAAAATGTGAAAAATATATTAAAGAAGTATACATCATTAAATTATTATCTACGGTATAAAATCGCCTAGCATTATGCATTTATGCACTACATGAAATAAGTTATGTTCCTTGTGTGACAGCACAGTGTATTGCGGGTAACCTACTTACATATCTGGCCACTGTCCCAAAAATGGGATGCAATTCTTTATGCTCACTGCAATTTACTTCAAACCAAAAATCAGTTGAAATCAACCATGGACTGTTCGTTTATACTTCAAACAAATAAGGCTAATCACTTCCAAGCTCATACTCTCCCCACTGTGTCACTGAGACATTTTAATTTTACCAACATGGAAACTAAATATTCACTAAGTTAAAAAAAAAAATGCGTAAACTAACATTTTCTCATGAAAAGTTGTTACATTCCCTGTTATAATGATATCTCTTCTATCGTTTTACAAAATTACAAAATTATCCATTAAGGTAAATTCAAGATATTTAAATACAAGAAAGCATCCCAAAAATGTAATATTGGCCAGTAATGGGTTAAGAGGTTAGAGGGTATCTTTTCTTGTTTCAGTATTCAGATTATATCAAATAGTTTTATATTGTCGAATGCTTTGCTTAAATCTGCAAAGCATTGGAAAGTTGGTTTGTTAAATTCTAGAGCTTTTTCCACGGTTTGTCGGGTGGTAAAAATTGCATCAGCGCATGATTTGCCATGTCTAAAATCCTGTTGTTGTTCTTCCCGTTCTATCATATTCATGAGAGTTTGCTATATTGGCTTTATATGTTTTGAGGATTTTCAATGAGCTGCTCAGGAGGTTTCTGTAATTATCTGGATCGTGTTCGTCTCCTTTCTTAAACAGAAGGATAAGAATACCTGATTTCCATTCCTTTGGTATTGTTGCATTATTAGTATGCACTTATTAAATAATGCAAGTAATAATGACATAACTGTTTCTCTTAAATTAACAACTAATTCAGGGTGTAGTACTTACATGTTGCTACAATTTACTTACGATGTAGGTATGCGAGTGCTGTCCTTGTCATGAAATTCCACCATGTCAGGAAATTCGGGTTTTAATTTGGCGAAAGTTGTCAGGCAAAAAGGCATTTATTTTTATTAAAATGTGTGTAACATTTATTGTAGCTATTAATCGTGATTGCACAGAACCATTTGACAAACTCCTATCGAAGATAACATTTTTCAGCTCCACTACTGAAAGTTTTTATTGGCATAGCTAATATCCGCAAATTTATTTCTTTATTTGTTTCACTCTCTATACCGGTATTTTCATTCTTTAAACTGATGTAATTGCCAGCACACACAGCCAGCAACCAGTGTTTCATACAGAGAATTTTATGAAATGGTCGGAGGCCGTTCTCAAGAGTGGCAAAACCATACATACACCATTCAATGCTATAGCTATTATGTCTCCAAAATTTCATTGACCATAAAATTTATCAATCTCTCAAACATTCTTCTTCGTCGTCTGTCATGCCAGGATTAGCTCTGTTCCAATCTCACCATCTCTTCCTTGGTCTTCCCACACCACTTTTGCCAGATGGATTATATTCCATTGCTTGTTTTGGAATCCTTTCTGGTGGCATACAAAGGACACACTTTCTCCGTTTCTCTTTGTGGTGAATCACCATTTTGATTATTGATTGTATTCCTAGTTCATTCCTGATTACTTTATTTCGAATGTTGTCTTCACTGGTGCTGCCTTTAACCGATCTAAGAAATTTTATTTGTGAGGCTTCTAGCTGTTTAAGATCCTTGTTCGAGAGTCCAGGATTCAGCTCCATATAATTAAGTTGGCACCATAAACTACTGCCGTGACTTGTAAAAATTTTAATTTCATTACGTTTCGTGTTTATGTGTGTGTGTGCATGCGTGTGAACAAATATGTGGCACAATTAGAAGAAATCTTAAAAACTACTATTATATATATTAATATTTTTCGTAATATTTTTGTCTTCTTCATAAGAAATGTCACAGCCCAAATACTGGAAATGAGACACCTGTTCTATTGGTTTGTCATTTACGACTATTTTTGTTCTTATTGGTTAAATACCTGAAAAAGGAATTGTTTTGGCTATTGTTAAAGATATTTTAAGGTTATAGGTTTGACTTAGTTCGTTGAGCCTGTGTAGTGCCGTTTGCAATTTATCCCCACTGTCTTGTATGATTATTTGATCATCAGCAAAAAGCAAGGTGTTAATATATCTGGTTGGTCTGTTTTCAATTCCTGGTGGTGTTTGGTCTCTTTTTCCATTCTCTAATCATTTCATCTGTATAGATGTTGAATAGAGTTGGTGATATACTACATCCTTGTTTCACTCCTTGATTTGCCTGTATTTCAGTTATCAATACTTTACCAGCATCAATTCTAATTTGGTGTTATTTTACAGACCTGGATCAAATGCTTAGGGAATCCTCTTTTTTCCAATATATGCCTTAGCTTATCTCTTTGGATCCTATCAAATGCTTTCTCAAAGTCCACAAACACTAGATGTGTTTCTAAGTTAAATTATCTTATTTGTATTATTTGTTTTAAAGCAAAAACATTGTGCATGATCTTCCCTTGCGGTAGCCTACTGTTAAAATTGTATCAGAGATATTTCGAGGCCTTTCGTTGACCATTTTACTGTAAAGCATGTGGGCTGAGTTCAGAATACTGATACATCTGTAGTTGGATGTATTTCCTCTTTCTCCTTCTTATGTATCATCCATTCTTCTGGTATTTTATTACTTTCCCAACACCTGTTGAAAAGATGCAGCATTCTGAATTCTAAAAGGATACCTCCATATTTTATCTTTTCAGAATTTATTCAATCCGAACCTGGTGATTTTCGATACATAATTTTTTTAAGGGCAATTTTTAATTTATTCAATTTGAGATAATCTACTTCTAGCGATTGCACCTTAACATCAATTTCCACAATTTGTGGATTGTATCGCAGTTGATTATAGTGTTTTATCCAGTCTGATGTTGGTATTACATGAAGGATCACAGTATCTCTCTTCTCTGTTTACTTGTTTCATTAGTTTGAATGCTATTTCTTGCCTCCCGTGGACATCATGTTCCACTCTGCTGATGAACATATCCCATGATGTCATGTGTGCTGTTCTTACAATCGACTTTGTTTCATTCCTTATTTTATGGTATAGTTCTTTAGCTTCTATTGTTTTCTTTTCTTAATATTCATTCTAAGCTTTGTCTTGGTCTTTAATGGCTTTTTGTATCTCTTCATTCCAAATTTTCAAACATACGTACATTTATGAGCATATGAACTACAGAATGACACATACTTTCCTGTATTAGTTTTCTATTTCTTTTGGTCTTAACTAACTATTCAGACTTGCCACATACCAGCTGCCATCTATCGCTGCCGAAAGTACATTTTTTGACATTTCTTAATTTTTCTAATAGAACGGAAATATAATTTAAAGGAAATTAAAGAACAGTAAAAACTCTTCCTAAATAGCAATTTTCTTTGAAAAACTTGCCATTTTTAAGAAAATGGCACTTAAACGCTACTGTAAACTGGAAATTTAAAGCCCTTTTTACTGAATTTTTTGAGTTTAAGAAAAATTTCTTTTGAAGTACTTTAACTTACAAATACAATAGTGTTTTCAAATTTTTGAACATGTGCGAGTGATACCTTTAAAAAATTACATTTGTGTAATTTTTGAAGGAAAAACAAATAAACGAAAGGAACTTTAGGTCATATTAAAGAGTGCAGTTTGCACTATCCGTTTCGAAAAGTTTGACATATGTGACAAATGTTTTCTATTTTAGAGTATTTTGTCATTCATATACCTTATGTGTTCACAAAGTAATTATGTTTATCTAAAACTTGTGCATCTTCACTGAATTTCTCTAGGCAGAAGAACTAATTTTAAAAGGTTTTCCAAAGAAGATCGTGGAGTTGAATGATTTGCTGGAAACAGCTCAATTTGGAAGGACCGATCTCTCTGAAGTTCACCAGCAACTTAACATTCCAGTTCCTGAACCCATTGCTGTCAACAGGTTAGATTGCATCTTTTGATACTTTTGTTATGCTAACACTTTTTAACATAAATATTAAAATTTCCTATAAAGTTTCTTTGGCGGTTGCCTGTTAAATACATGTATTCTTTTATAGTTGCTATATTATTATTATTATTATTATTATTATTATTATTAAATTGCCTTATTTATATACATATTCACGTTTCAGTCATGTTGATGCTCCAGCCAATAAGAAATGGAAGTATGACAACAACATGGAAGATGTGGGAGGCACCAAGGTGATGGCTCTTCCAAGTGGGGCAGTGCCCTGCAATAAGCATCTCTGTGACCTGGTGTTGGTTGTGAAGCCACATATTCGGCAACTTGTGGAAGATGCAAATTTGGTAAAATGTGATAGTTTGTTTTGTTTCTAAACTGAACAAAATATACTGAATTCTGAAGTAATCTTCAGGAATATGAGTTACTGTAATTTGTCCGAGGTTAACAATGAAGTACAGGGCTTTATGAACTTTTCCTGTAAAGAAACATCTCCCGTTTTTAGATTTTTAACCCTTTTGAAATCCTCATTAACATAATTTTTCATAACAACTATTACATTTGTAAAATAATACCTCAAATACATTATATATTTACAACATCCCATGGTGACCTAAATGTATGATGAACAAAGGATACTGTGCTTTGTTCAACTTTTTCAAGTCCCTGTCATCGTATTCTATCATTGTTTTATAAATAAATAACATTGAACTTAAACTATACCATCCAATAACCATAAATAAAATATTTGTATATCAACATTTACATCCTTTTCTTCATGAAATGCGACAGCTGCCATAAGCTGTTTTAATGTATTGGGTGTTGGTGCTTGTTATAGATTCTGTGCTCTGTGGTGTTAAAATATACTTACATTCTGTGGTGTTTATATTTTGAGCAGGAAGCCAAAAAGAAAAGCCTTGTTTTTTGACATAGTAATTATAAGTTCAAAGTATTTGTTGCAAGGTTAAAAGCAAAGCAGTTTTAATTCTTGAGGGAGATTTCATCATTCATGAAATACTTCTGGTATAAAAGTGGAAAAGACAGTAATGATAATGACATAGGCATCTTGTGTGATTGTGAAAGTGGTGGGAGATGACAATGATTGCAATAGTACTTATTTTGTCAATACTATTTTTTTCTTGAAGAAAAAACAATATATTAAAACATTTTATATGAGTGACCTCCTTTTTATAAGAAATGTTCTCTTTTTCCATAACGGAATATGGTAACCCTAACGAAAGGAAGAAAATACACTTTCTTAAAATTGGAAAGGTTCAAGATAAACTAATTTAGTACTAAAATAACGCTCCACCATATTGCAAGTTTTGTCATCAGCATTGAGCGCGTAACTTTCAATTCATACAGCAGAAAAACGCAATGTTTGGCATAACTGTCAACATAAGAGAGAGTACTTCATTGTTAACCTCGGATGCTGCAAACACTGGCCTCTGGATAAGGCAGCAAAAATGTTTTGCTCTCGGGAATCAAAACCCATTTTGCTGTTGTTTTCATTTTAATTAAAACATACAAAATATTAGAGACTGATGCTCTTAGTTGTTAATAGGAGGTTTAAAATAAAGTTGAGGACTCGGTAAATATGTTGTGAAAATGACACTTCTGCTGTTTGTATTTTACAACAGGCCATGGTGTATTAGAATACTGTTCTAATAATTTGTATTACAAAACTGATGGTAGATGATAATAGGAGGCCATGAAATACGAGTATAATTGCATTCTAATAACACTTATTACAGTACTGATCTCATTTTTAAGTTTCGCTCTTGATAATCAAAGTGAATAAAAGTTATTTTGGGTTTGGGTTACACAAAACACTTGGGGGAACATCCTCTGCTTTTTTGTCACTGGTCAATCATTAGAACCAGTTTACGCCTGCCACACTTAAATTTTTTTCTATTTTTATTTATTTTTTTATTTTATTTTATTAATATTATTATATTTTTTTTCCCTCTTAATTTTATTGATTCAGGTTTATTATGTGTTAACTCTTTGCGGTCCATTAACTTCTCCATTTTCTTCTTCTGACGGTCCTGTGCCCTACATCACAGGACATTCCTGGTTCTGGTCCTTTGCCCCTTGAGGCAGGACTTACATTTAACTCTGTATTATTTCACTAAGGCAGACGGCACTGGTTACCAGTACAATCAATTTGCTTCAACAATGTTTAGACAGTAATTTCCTTCATTATAGCCAGATTTTGCCCATTTTTGTTAGTTTGAAATCAGTTCATTTTGTACGCTGCAGATGTTCTTATACGAGAAGTAAGCTTTCAAGATAGCCATATCCTGAACTATGTAAGTCAGTAAATAATTCTGAGTGTGAACAATTTTCAGGAAACTAAGAATTTGATTTTTTTTGCTCGGGTGACTGAAGAATATGAAGAACGAAGCAGTAATGATAACTTGAAATCTGTTGATTAAATACAATCTTCAGGTATTGTTGGTAATTGTGTGAAGCTCTCTTCACCAAACTTTAACTTATATTTATATATTATGAACTAGGCAAATAAATTAAATACAAAAAATAGTTTGGGATCTGAGATTAGTTTCTTAGCTGTGGGATGCTGAACCAGTATAGTCAGGTTGGAACTTGGGGATTTAAAGAGTTTGCAATGTAGAAAACGCTGCATCCCTCCACATGGAGAAAAGGACCGCAAAGGGTTACTTAAATTGGTTTGTCGCTTTATATTTCTTTCTCACAATTCGCTTTTATCATTTCCTCCATAAGATAACATGTAGTATCATTTAACTTAATTAATGTTTTCTCCATAACCATGATCCTTGCGATGCAGGGAAATTATGCATAGTACATCGAGCTTTGTGTTGAAGGCAATAACAAGCAATAATACATCAGTAGAAAATTAAATTATTGAATTTTTTAAAAATTTTATTATATATTAATTTAACAGGATGTAAAATATATGAAATGTCAACGATATATTATTTCGCAAAGGATTTACTCCTTGTGTGCATACCTGTAGGCAAATACAATCTCTTAATTCTATTTCAATTACTTTTCATATTTTTAAGGAAAAGATAAAGAATAAAAAATTTAATGAGTACATACCTTACTAAAACTCTAAAAATTAATTGAATTTGTTTATTTATTTTATTTTTTTCTTTAATTTCAAAATCACTGGTTATTTATTTTGGGAATAATTAGTAAATGTTACTTAAAACTTGAAATTTCAAGAATGGGAAACCTGAGTGTCAGTTAAGTTACCTGATCATATATATCAAATCTGAGTATTGATACAGATTATAACTATTGTGTATGCTCTGGTTCAGAAAGTATCAATAATGTTACTATTGTTTGTTATAAAAAAATAGATAAAGCTATAATAAAGAAATTTTGTTTTTGCAGCTTAAGATGTGGATATCTTTTATGATTCCAAAAATTGAAGATGGAAACAATTTTGGTGTTTCTATTCAAGAAGATACCCTGGCTGAAATCCAGTCAGTTGAATCTGAAGCTGCTGCCTTTTTTGATCAAATATCACGATACTTCTTGTCGAGAGGGAAGATAGTATCAAAGGTTAGAAAATTACATTTTTGCATTGCTATTTTGATATTGCAGTGTATTGAAAAACTATATTTATTTACCTTCAGAGCTGTAAAAAACAGGAATATTGCATGGGAGAATTAATGATAAAACTAAAATTCAAGAAAATTAATTTAATGTATTGAATTTGAAACTGCATTTCATTTTTATGTAAGAATTTTTGAAAAGAGTTTGATTAGTTTTCATGTGATTATGAATGAAATTGAGGCAAAAAATACACACACACACACGCACACTGAAGATCATTATCTCTGTATCAAATGGAGCAGTTTTTACGTAATAATATGGTTTAAGTCTTAATTTTCATTAAAACCTCTAAAACTTTACTAATTGCAAAAATTCTACTTTCGGCTGAAATGTGGTATATGGTACAACCTAAACCTGTATAAACCGGCACTTTGTTCTGTTCTGGCGTTAACTAGGCAGTTACAATTCTGGAAGCTTTCTTGAAAAGTGATGTCTTATAAAAGTGAATTGGTAATTATACGTTGGATACACTCAAGGATGTTTATAGTGAACGTGAGGGCCGAAGGCCCGAGCCTAGCCGTGACTTGGAGTGAGCAACGCGAGAAAACTTGCCTTTGAAAGTAAATTGGCGTTACAATGCGGCGGGGACAAAGCATATGAGGGGCAAACAATGAAAATTGCCTATCCATAAGTTTTATTCATTTCTATTAGAGCACGTACAGTAATTAGATCTTAAGCCCGGCTGCCACGCTTCTGTAAGGGTGTACCGTATACTAAACTTTAACCCAACTTTCTTTTTGATGATAAAATACATTTGAAGGACAAGACGGTTGCTTTTAAAACCTATGTACATCAGGGTGAGGACTTTTTCACAACCTCATTTTCCTGTGCAATAATTTGATATTATTTTTGATGAATTTTAACTTACATTAAAGATTAGATACAGTAAAACCCTGTTTTTACATTTTCCTGCCTTTTACATAATTTTTTGTTGGTCCTGTTGAAAAACTTATATTTACAACTTCTCTTTCCGTAATTTACAACTTGATATGAAGAGTACTTCCTGTCTTTTACGTTGTTTTTTTATTTTTTAATTTATTTCATTTTTCTATTTTCATATATACGTTTTATACCTAGTGCTGAGAAAGTTATGTAATTCTGCGGCAAAAGACAATGATTTTTTGACAGAAAAACTCGAATATCAACTTTGGAGAAAATCAGCAGGTAGTTTAGGCGCTTGCATTGACCACAATGGGCAAACATGTTTTCAGCTGGCAAAACAGCAGCCGATCGATTTTACGGTTTCAAGGACCCATAAAACAGGGATTCAGGCTATACCATGTGTTGGAGGAAGTATCTATAGGAATAAGATTTATCTACTTTTTCATTACCAGGGCACGTCAATAGGAGATTTTCTGACGAAAATCACAGATTCCGGCGCATGCTTTTACTTTCTCTTCTTACGAAGGTGAAGGAGAAAGTGAAAACAGAGTAACCATTGCAGTAAATAATGAAAGTACTGGCCTAGCCTATAGTTTCTGAATTTTCCTGTGGGTGTAGGGTGTGTGTGCGTACGCGTGTGTTTTCTTTTCCATTGGCTCCCTGAAAAGTGTAATAGAGGGGTTTTATTGTACTTTCTTATTTTCAAGGTGATTTGATTTTTAAAAAACCTCGCGCACAAAATTATTTTAATTGCAAACATTTTAAATGTTTTTGGCATTTAGGTACGGTTATAATTGTGACGACAGAGATTTTTTTCCTACTACGAAATCTGTTCCTTAGGGATAGATTTTGAAACAAGGTCTTGTAGAATTGTTTGAAAATTTGAGTACTTTTATGTGTAATTTTGTATGAAAGTATGGGCAAGAAAGTACAAGCTGTTTTAGTACCACTAGTTTTCAGTGAGGTGAATAAGTCATCATTGAATCATTAAATCATAAAAAAGCACTTCCATGGGTGCACTAATGAAACTTCAACTCTTCTTAAAGAAATGTCTTTTAGAGCAGTCTATTTTTGTTTCTTTATTGAACCATTGCCCTGTTAAAGCAACTACCGATGAGTGCCCTGGGTTTCAATGCCCTTATTTCAATGACATTTTCCTTTTAAGTATGTTTATTAGGTACTTTTGTGACTAGAAAAATATGTTCATTTTTTGTGTATGAACTCTCTACTCAGATCCATTGGAGTATTATGTAGTAAAAAGTGTATGAATTGAATTCTTAAAAAAAAATTGAGTCTGCTGTTGTCCACAGATTTTCTGGAATATGTACTATTTCATAACCTTTCCTTTAAGGTAATGTTCTCGTACACATTATGCCCTGGGCAACAGATCCATACTACATGTCAATTGAATTTGTGAAGTCAAGACCTAGTTCACCATAATCACAGTAGATAGAAGAGGTTGTAGTTATTTCTGGATCATGTGATGGGGAAACTTGACTTTTTTAATTTCGAATATTATGATCTTCCAGAAATTTGTTTCATGATTCGTTAATGGTAGTGAATGCTCTTGTTCCAAAAGCACGTGTTGTGGCTGTTGCTGTTTTCTATGTGCATTTTGTGTGTGTGCAGTTAGTTGTATTCATAAAAATATATGCATTTTATGAATTAATTGCAATGAAAGAATTTGATTTAATTGCTATGTAAGAAAAGGAGACAGTTCACGATTAAATAGAAAGTGGAGATAGAGATACAATAAAAGAAAATGATGGTGGAATGCAGCAGGTTCTTGTAGCATGTAACACATTTGTATAACACAAAGCCAGATTCAGTTTCAAAAATTTTATCAAAAGTAATAAAAAATCTAAAAATGTATGAACAAGCGGCAATAGGCCCCGATAAAAATAATATTTGTTTAGGACATTTTCATAAAGTGGAAGAGGCAGTAGACACCCGGTTTAAGGAAGTTAGGTCTAATGGGGTTCCTGTTTCTGGACCAATGATCCAAGAAAAAGCACGACAACGTGCTGTACTAATGGGTATCAAGAATGTTCAGGCAAGTACTGGTAGGCTGCTTCATTTTCAAAGCGATATAGCGTGCTATGGCAGCTTGGAAGACTGTTGTTGTGGAAGCTAAAGATGCTGACATGAACCTTAAGAGTGGAAGGAACATCTGAAAAATCTAAATAAAAAGTATTATCCAAAGATACTTTCAGGACAGATGAAACAGCATTTTTTTATCATGTGTTGCCGAATAAAACAATAAAGGAAACAAGTGTGTATGTGGACAACAGCCAAAGGAAGTTTAACTGCATTATTTTGTTGTAATGCCACTGGTACTGAAAAATTGAAATCTTTAGTTGTAAGACATGCATAAAGCCTAGATTTCTCAAAGGTGTGGCATCTCTCCCAGTAAAATATACAGCCAAGAAGAAAGCATTGATGACCAATAAACTTTTTGAGTTGAACAAAGACATTGAAAAAACTGAAAAGAAAAATACTATTGTTAGATAATTGCTCTACTCATTAAGTGAACTGCAGGTTGGAAAATATACAAATATTGAATTCCTTTCTCTCAACTGCACTTCTGTACTGCAGCCACTAGACCAGGGAGTTATTCATAATGCAAAGGTCTACTTTTGTAAACAACTGGTTCAACGGATTCTTATCAACTTCAGATGGAAAGTTTCAACCAAAATCAACATCTTGCAAGAAATACATATGTTAGCAGGGGTTGGTGGAATGTGAAAGCAACAATTGTCAATTGTTGGAGAAAGGATTTTTGGATTTCCAAGACAGTGTTTCACCAGAGGTTGAGGCTTGTGAACATCATTGTGAGGTGTGGGAACCAATTTGCAAAGGAATTAGAACTTCCACAACCTGTAACATTTGATGATTATGTCGATATTATGTCTGGGATTGAAACGAGTCTCTCTCAGAGTGTGACTATGCTGAATCTTTGACTACATCATAAGAAAATAATGAAGAGGAAGAAGAATATATAAACAGTGTCTTCAAAACAAAGGCAATGAAGTGTAAAAGTTTAAATGTTACAGAGACAGTTCTTAAACCGTTATTGGAGGTAGAACAGTTTGTGGAAAGCAACTTGCTCAAAAAGACAAAATGAAACTTCCATCAGATAATATTTTAATGATGGATTGCCCATAAACTACGTAATGTTAAAGAGTGGGTAGGGATCTGAGGCAGCATTACACTCTGTTACATAGGGGGAGGGGGAGGGTATTACTTAAGTGTTACGTAACTTAGTAATTTTATATATATATATATATATATATATAATATATATATATCATATAATTATATATATATATATATTATATATATAATTTTTTTTTTTGACATGTACTAAAACATTAAAATATTAACAAATTCATGTTTTAAAAACGTAAATAAACTAAATTTGTTAATTGTTACAATAGATGGAAATATTTTTTCAACATTATTTTAAATTTTGAATCTGTAAGATACAACGAAAATATTCAAACTTGATATGAAGTATATTCCAGAATCCATTTATATTGGTGCTGTTGACTCTTGCTCTTGCGTTATCCAGGATGGCATGTGCATAGCTTGAGACCAACCATTTCTCTCCCAAGAATTTTTCCTTCACTCACAACTTGCGCAATCTTATTGTTAGGTGCAGCCAATATCACCAACTAGTTTCCATTTAATTATCATTAATTACTTTGGTATACAACACCAGTAAAATAAATACAAATTGTTTTTACTGTTCTATAATTTATTTTTTTCTTGCATTACAAAGGGTTCAAGTGTGCATTACGAGGGGGGAGGGGTATTGAAAATACTCTGAATTGGCATTACGTAATTTGTGGATAGTCCCCTGGTGACATGTAATTTATTTTTTTCTTCATTATTTTTGTGTACGAATGTATGAATGTATGTATGAATTCCTTTTATGTTTCGGGATTTGGCAACCCTGGTGTTGCAATATGGCAACTGACAGCTCTATCATAAAGTTGGATGTTTTGAGGTTATACGTCCTCAGAACGTTTTGACATACGTGCGCTTTTTGTGTTGTTTACAGTAACTTAAAAGATTCATCTTGGCCCAGAAATGCAATTAAATCGTGAACATTTTCGTGAGATTATTTTTTACAACTTTCGACGTGGATTAACTCAGCAACAATGCATGCATGAACTTAATTCAATTTTTGGCGATGAAGCTGCATCAGGGACCAGTGTTTATGGGATGGTGAATTCAATCGTGGTCGTAGTTCACTCCATGACGAATTTCGCGAAGGTCGCCCTAAATCAGTTGTAGTTCCGAAAACCATTGATGCTATGCGTGAACTGATATTGCCAGATCGTCATGTGACCTATCGTGAGATTGAGACAACCTTAGGCATTAGTGGGACCAGCATACATTCAATATTGCATGAACATTTGATTGTCAAAAAAATTTGTTCGCGTTGGATCCCACACAATTTGTCAATCGCTCAAAAAAAGGCTCGTGTCGATTGGTCGAAATAAATGCTCAAAAAATACGATCGCGGTGCTTCGAAACACGGCTATGACATCGTGACAAGTGATGAATCGTGGATTTACGCGTATGAGCCCGAAAGTAAACAGCAGTCGACTGGATGGGTGTTTCAAGAAGAGTGAAATCCAACAAAAGTTCCCGCACGAAGCACTTCCAAACAGATGGTAGCTTTTTTTCTTCTTTTTTTATTGTCTTTCTTTTTTATTTATTTTATTTTTATTTTATTTTCTCCTTTCTTCGAAAAAACTGGACTTGTTGCAACCGTTCCACTAGAATAACGCAGAACAGTCACTTCTGAGTGGTACACAACGATTTGTTTGCCAGCTGTCTTCCAAAAAAGGAATTCAGGAAAACCAACAGCCAAAAACGGATCACTTCACCACGACAATGCGGGCTCTCACACATCGGCTCAAACAACTGCATTTTTGAGCACCTAAAATATCGATTTGATGAGTCACCCTCCTTATAGTCCTGACTTGGCACCGAATAACTTCTTTTGATTTCCGTACGTAAAAAACAAACTGAGAGGTCAACGTTTTTCGACACCTGGAGAAGCGGTTGCTGCATTCAGAATGCATGTTTTGGATGTTTATTTATATCATCAGTAGTTGTGTCAAATTATGTTTGCTTTGACAATTGGTTTTTATGCAGTGCAAAAGTGTATAGACTTCATGGGGAATATTTTGAAAAAAAAAAAAAAAAAATAAAGTAATTTTCGATGATTAATATTTGTTTTTGTTCTCTAATCCTGAAATATAAAAGGCAACCCTTGTATTAAGCAAGCTATTTAAAATAAATTAGTACGAATTGTTTTTTTCCATATACAATATAAATAAAATTGTTTTATGATATACTTATACTGATATTTCACGGTTTTACATAATTAATATATTTTATACAAAAATCAGGATGACAAATAAAATCACCTTTTCTCTCTCTAAAATTTTTAATGCACTAGTGGTTCTTGAATTAAGGAATGTATTTTAAATGTTCTTATATATATTTACTAAATTTCAAAGGATTGTTTGTCTATTCTAGATTGCGAGATTTATTGTATAATTTAAGTCAGGTAATTGAAATGTCATTTGTTGAAAGTTGATTTTTATCTTGAAAAGTTCAGGGGAGGGGGGAGAGAAAATAAAACACACACACACAACTAGACATTTTGAAAATACAATGGTCCTTTCACTAAGAAATGTATTTTAAATATTTGTTTTATTCATATGTTAAATGAGAAAACTTTAATTTTTAGTTCATTTCCAAGAAAAATCCAAACAATCTGATGTAAATCTTTAATAATTATTAAGAATTAAGTTTCAATATTTTATATTGATTTTAATTCCTAATTGTAAGTCCATGTGCTATTTGTTTCCAGGTTGCAAAGTATCCTCATATTGAGGATTATCGAAGAGCTGTGCAAGAATTGGATGAGAAGGAGTACCTGAGTCTTTGGTTGGTGATGTGTGAAGTCCGAAACCGCTACTGTACATTACATGACATTGTCATTAAGAACTTGGAGAAGTTAAAGAAACCACGCACTTCCAATGCTGATTCCCTGTACTAAAAAGGAGTTCCAGATGTTGACCAGTGTTAGGCTGCACCTGACAGTTTCTGAAGTAAAAGCTAAACTATTGATGTATCGAGATATAAAATGTGTTGTGAGAAAAGATGATTTCTAAGAATGATCTTCAGTAAGTAAAACAAAATAAAGCACAGGTGATACCCATTTCTGTGTAATTATTTTTCAGTTAAATTTTTTCTCCTCTTTGAGAAGGATATTAATTACATGACTCGTATTTGAAACACATGAAGTGGTAAATGATGGAATGTATTTTTGTACACTTCCTCATGGCAGCAGAGAGCATGTGTTTGCTGTATATCAGAACACCATCTTAGGCTGTACTTATTATTGTTCATGTTCTTTTATGCTTGAGGTATTCTCGTATTGTGTAGTGGAATGACGAATTTTGCATGTTTATGAAATTTGCTGTGCAGTGTAATTTCTAGTTGTGCTGCTTAGCATTTGAAGTCATGTTCCTAGTATGGTTTGATTGCTGACGTTTGCTCTAAAGAAGACAATTAATGCCATGTTTTATTTTTTTAATTGGATTAATTTCCAAATTTGATTTTTGTTTTGCTTTTGAAGTTACATAAATTATTTAAAGTTGGTGACTGAACATATCAAAAGAATAATGAAAAAGTGACATTGGTTTCCATGTGTGTTTTTATTCTTATTTTAATTGAAATTGCAAATATATTACTGTGATGAAACTTTTCTGTATTCATGAATTACTGTGAATGAATTGATCTCTATTTATACTATAATATGCATAAGAATAATAGCACTAAGAAGAGAACTCAAATGTAACGTGCTAGTTTTTATTGTGAATGTTAAAGTGTCCCTTTATGATTTGATCATAAGACATTACCAGTATTCTAGGAAAGTAGGGTGAATTACATGATAAATCAGTCTTTTGCCTGAATTTAAGCAACTCCAATTAAACCTTTTGAGATTTGACTTTAGTTTTCATTTTTGCATGTGAATGAAATGGCTGTCATGCTGTTAAAGTTCCCTTTGTTTTGATTGTAAATTTTTGTTCTGTGCTGTAAAATCGGTCATTGTTAATACCTGTGAATGATATTTAATCTTTTTTGCACCTTTTCAAAAGCTGGTTCTTTATTGGTAGCTTGAAAGGTTTCAACATTTACAGGGATTATTGAAAATGCACTTCAGAGTGCTAATAATTGGCACATTAATATTATTTTAAAAGATGTTTTTGGAATTTTCAAGAAGTACTTCTTTGTACGAGTTGCCATTAGTTTTCTGTTTTACTCCATTGATTTCCTTCCCACAACACAACAGGGTGATTTAGAATGCAAGGAAAACTCTGGGAAATTAAAGTGTAGTAATTTTACAGTAAAATGACTTGTCCTAAAATTCAACACAAGACATACCTAAGTAGGGGAAAGAACAGACTGTTGATTTGATTGCAGTGAGTTGTATTCAGAGAAAGTGAGAATGTTTTTTAAATGTAATGTGTAGTTATCAGCAAAATTTTTGTAAGGTCCTTTTGTTAAACAGATCAGATACAATAATATTTATATCTAAGGTAATGAAAAGTAATTCTTGGAAAATTTTGCACTGATTGGTACATATGATCTGAATTCTTGCACATGGTTGGTTAAATTTTCTTGAATGGAATAGGCCATGTATCAATAATGAAAATATCTGTACCAGCATTTTTTACGTAAAAGACATTTTGTATTCTTATTTAAATGCCATTTCCAACATAAGTCGTCTTATGCTAATGCCAACATCACTGTATCGGTTATCAGTGTGATGATTACAAATTTTTGCTTTCTGCAGTATTATAGTCAGAAATAAATCTTCTACGTATTTTTTCCATTTTCTTTATAGTGATAGATGTCCCTGAACTTTACTGGAATGCCAAACCTCCAGAACTTAAGATCTAGCCAGGTAAGCTGGTAAAAAATGCTCCAAAGCTAAATAAATGTTTTGAACAATGACTCTTGACATAAAAAAAGATTTGTTCAATTGAATTTCCCTAACCTTGCTCACCTCTCCCTCACAATGAAAAATATTTTTCAACTCTACCAGATTTTTAAAATTTTTGTGGCGTCTTATCTTAATTGAAACATGCTTACTTGTAGATTTAGGTTGGTGTTTTTTATTATTTTAGCCAATATCCCCTTTGTCCCTTCAAAACCTGTATGATTTGTAACATCGTAACTTTATCAACTGTTAAATATATTTTTGACTATTCCATAACCCATTCAGACCTAGTGTGCCCAATTGCATATATGTATTTTGGAAGGATTTTCATTCTTTTATAGGAGAAAAATATTTTAGCAACATATTGTAATCAATTTTACTTCTTTGATATCTCTGTTTTAATGTTAGTTTCATCAGGATATGTAAACAATGAAGTGTGCAATTCAAAAAAGTCAGGACAAAAGGAAAGAATGTTATTTGGATTATACTTTAATGCCTGAACCTAAATTTGAATATTGATATGGGACGTGTGCATTTCACAGGGATTTTAATTAGAACTTTTAAAATTAATTGGTAACAGTCTCAGTTAGCAAAGGAATCGGAAAAAAAATCAAATTAGAAGAGTTATGAAGTTGGGCCAAACAAGAGTAAAAGGAATGATAAAAGCCAGATTAAGATTTATTAGCTCTTAAATTCCCCAGAATGATACATTATACCTTCAACTTTGGTTTCCTTGCCTTCTTACATCTTTCTCTGACCTTTCAAGAATCACTAAGGATTTGTCTGTTTTCTTTAGTAATCTGATATTATTATACCTTATGTCACAAAGTCACTTCTTGCATCGTACAGTATTTATGCCAGGTTTGATGCACATCTTTTCTTTGGGATGTGACATATGCAGAGTTGTAGTCATGAGCTCCCCTGGTGAGATTCAAATTTTGCACCAAGACATTTTCTAGGAAGAGAAACTACTCAATAACTTTGAAGCTAATTTATATTTAAGTTACTTACACATTTAAGTATAAAGTTAGTTATTATTATAAATATAATATATAATATTACTTTATATATTATAATATATCTATATACAATTATTTATTATTTTCTCTTAAAAGTTTACCTTACTATTCCTGAGGGTAATTTGTCAATATGGTCTATGTTAATACATTTCGAAATGTGATTCTCAATCGAAAATATGGCGAGATCACTCAGGTTCTTGCCCAATATGCGATCGTGAATATTTTTCGTTATTATTACTTTCCTGTATACATACCGATGTTTTTAAAATATCGATGTCGCATCCCTACTTCCAATCATCAAAAACTAAAAAACAATAGTCTTTAAACCGGTGTAAAGAATTCGTCCTCGAGGAACTAGAACGTAGCTCTTGAAACTGGTGAGATGGGCTACATATCTGCGGATCTATCAATATGCGTATATCCGTTTGGGATCCCCTGAAATACCGAAAGTATATATAGTTTGCACACACCTAGGCTAGCTTAAGGCTAAATGTCCCGACATTAGTACAATTTGTAGCCACCACGTGGCAGCACCAAAATAAGTAA